TTCATTTATGCTCCTGACAGTTGATTTATTATTTGCTAATTTTCTAGAATTCCAATGGGCAGTAGGTTTTCCTAGACTTTTGGCAGAAATGACCCATGGCATCTCGAAATAGTTTGCTGCTGCCCTTATCACTCTTGCTACAGGAGCTGAGCATGAATACAGTGTAGACAAACCTAAGACCACCACTCGGAATAAGCAAACACGAGCTTATCCAGTCAACGGCCTTCTGCAGTTGCGGCTGACTATCTATTTTATACAGTCACTGGTGCTGAACGTCTGCAGACCCATCTGCTGCTCACTATTTCTTATTTCTCTTGCTTCTTTGGGGAAAGAGTCTGCTATAGATCTGAATGTTCTTGCAGCTTGTGTTTGCTAAATTGTAAGATTTAATCAACCACTGCTGCTGAGCAGTTTTATAGCTGATCCAGAGACAATCATATAGGTCACGGTGGTCACAGCACTACTCTGAATTAGCTACTCATTCAAGAAAGAGAATCTATTTGCTTCCTCTTGCTAGACAAGGTTCTGGTTATTGATAATGAGTTCCTTAGCTGAAGTATACCCAACTGTGTGAAGGAAGCTGCCATCTCTGCCTGTTCTATCACACTCTGGGATGTGGAGCAGCTAACTGGCCCTCCCACACTGTTCCCTCAGCTAGCTGGCCCTCCCACATTGTTCCCTCAGCTGATTGAGAACAGCAACTGACTGGCTTGGATCAAATGGATTTTAGTTTCTAATTCTGGAATCTATAGAATTGTGGCAGTTTAGTCTTTGCCATTGTGAAGGAAGGTCAAGATGACTTCGGCTGTCTCCTAGGGCTATCTCCCTCTCCTCCCTAGTACCCTGTAACCATTACATGTTGCTATGGCTAACAAGATCAATGAGGATGGGGGTGAGACAGCCTGGAAAGGAGAGGACCCCAGAGCCTGTGAAAGATCTGACTCAGAGCCCAACCCCATAATTTCTACTTCTAGGGTCCCTCCCATAATCCTATTGGGAGCTGTCTGTTTAAATAACTGTCTGTTGTTTGTACACCCACATCTGTGGCTGCTGCCTTGTGGTGTCATCAGTCAGCTCCCTCTCCAGTACTGGCTCCTCTTCTGCATCCTCACTACTTCCCTGGTGTTTGTCTATTGTCTCCCTCCCGTCTGCTGCTTTCCAGGACACACAATCCTTTGTCCACCCATGGAATGACCAGTCCCTCGCTTACGACCCCTGCCCCAGAATAATTTTCTCAGAGACTGGGGTTCTTTTCCCCTTAGAATTCATGAGAGAGAGGTAGCTTTTCTTACTGTGATAGATACATCTATTCTGGCTTACAATTTCAGGTATTAAGTTGGGGACATATACCTAGTGACTCATTTCATCAAGCAAAGCCCCATTTTATAGTTTCTAGCATGTTCCTAAACAGCACCAGCAACTAGGAACCATATGTTCAACATATTAAGCTGTGAGGGGCACTCCATAGCATCCTAGCCCCGAAAAGGCTCACGTCCATCCCAGAATATAAAATGTATTCCATTCATTTCTAAGAGCTTCCCTGTGGTCTTATTTTTTGTATGTTTTTTTTGGTTTTTTGTTTTGTTTTGTTTTGTTTTGTTTTGTGACGAAGTTTCACTATCTAGCCCTGGCTGGCCTAGAACTCAATATATAGATGAGGCTGGCCTCAAACTAAGAGACTGGACAGCCTCTGCCTCCTGGATTAAAGGAATCTACCACTATACATAGTTAAAACAGTTCTATCATTGTGCAAATGTCTAAGAGCAAAATCTCTTTTGAGACTCAAAGCAAACTCTTGTAAGCCGCTGTAAAATTCCAAAACACTTCCAAAATACAATGTGCCATGTGACTTTTCCTTTCTTTTCCCAAAGAAGTCACTGATAACCAATGAAAACCAAAATAAGGATTTACTGAGAACTCCAGTGACTTATAAGGCAACAACTGGGTTACCCCCAAAGCCCACTTTGGCAGCAGGGACTGGAGCTCCCTGCAGGACCCACAATCAGTTCTGCTGGGATAGTTTGGTTTGGCCTGCTACTGTTCATTGTATATATGTTAAGGGGAGTAGATTTGGTAGACCTTGCCACCTTCTGAGTTTCTTGGGCCTTGTATCAGTAGTTTTCTGAGGTTTATAAGCCTCCCTTCTCTCCGAGAAAGAAGTTTTAATTCAGAGAAAATAGCTAAGCAATACAATGGTAATAAGTAAATACCCATTCCAAAATGAATAAACAGAATAGCAAAGAACCAAACCAATGCAAGCCCTATCTTGTGGGCTGCCTATGGCCTTCTTGAACAAATGTTCCCCATTCCTAGCATCTCCAAATTCCTTAGATAGACTTCTCTCAGTGGCTTCAAACATTAACCTCTGGGGCAGATGCCAGCACTCTGGCCTAGCCATTCACTGCCTGACCTATGGTTTCCTCTGAAAGCTCAGTGGAAGTCTCTATGGAGACTTCCTGAAAGTCTTTACCTGTCTGAAGAATCAGTTATGTGGATCATACCAAGGTCAGCTACCAGCTTAACCAGTATCTGGACCTTCCACCCTATAGCAGCCTGAGTGCTGTAACATTTGAGCACAGGAAAATTCAACGGTGGGATTAACAACCTTACTTGGGCACTAGTTACGTAGCACGAAGAAAATAAAATAAGAAAGCAAGATGATTTCTAAGATGACCTAAGGCATTTTCCTTATTATCCAAGTATTTGTCTTTTTTTATTTTTTTTAAGTACTAAAGATGAAACCCATGGGCATCGTCTAAGAAAGTATTCTACCTGAGGCTAGAGAGGCTCATTGGTTAAGAGCACCTGATGCTCTTTGAGAGGGCCTGGATTCAGCTCCCAGAACTCACATGGCAGTCTGTAAGTCCAGTTGCAAGGGATCGGACTCCTTTTTCTGGCTTCTTGGGTATCAGGAACATACAACATATATACATACGGAAAACATTCATACAAATAAAAACAAATCTTGAAGAGAAGGAGGAAGAGGAAGAAGAGGAGGAGGAGGAGAGGAGGAAGCGGAAGAAGAAGAGGAGGAAGAGGACAGGAGGAAGACATGGTCCACCACTGAGTGGCATGCACACACCACAGCTGTTTTCTTTCTCATGGCTCAGATCTCTTCGGCAGCTTCACTCTGCTCAATCCCAGCTTTTTCATATACATTACCTGTTTTCTGGGCAAACTACAAATTTTTAAACACCTGACTATGTTTTTTTGCTAAAATTCTCACTGTAAACTTGGATATCAAGAGATCAGCAATAAACACACTCCAAACACCAGGCCGCCTTCAAATCTCTTCCAACATGTATTGGTTCAGCATGATTAAATTTGGCTGATACAAGGCCAGGCGGTGGTGGCGCAGGCCTTTAATCCCAGCACTTGGGAGGCAGAGGCAGGAGGATTTCTGAGTTCGAGAGTTCAAGGCTAGCCTGGTCTACAGAGTGAGTTCCAGGACAGCCAGGGCTACACAGAGAAACCTTGTCTGGAAAGAAAAAAAAAAAAATTGGCTGATACAGTCTCAGGTCATGATCAAGATGAGACACACAAGGTTTTGCTACAATGTAACATAAATGATTTACCTCTAGTGCAGTTACAGAGAGTAGCCACAATTCCACCTGAATCTAACAATGGACTTTCCTACACACTTGTTTGGATGTTCAGCTTCTGAGCTCTTGCCAGAACCATTATAAGCTCTACTTGCAGCACATGAAGCTGTTTCTGCAGCCATCCATTAGTCCTTCTAACAGACACTTCCACTGCCTTAGGAAGCCTGGCCACGTCAACACCCCACCATGTCCCACTCCCTGTGAGATTTCTATGACTGCAACAAATAGCTAAAAAACAGCAAATTAAAGGACCACAATTTTAGAGCTTTCAATCCATGGCTGGCTTGCTCTGTAACTTTGCTGTGGAGCATAGGTATAAGGAAAAAGGGAAAACAGCAAGCTTTAACATTAGTTAAATGGGATTAACAACATTACGTGGGTACTAGTTATATAGGAAGAAAACAGAATAAGGAAGTCTCAAGACAACAGAGATAAAACTTAAGGACTAATATCTGTTTCTCTAAACCTGCTTGCTCCTTTCCTGTTTTTCTGAAAATGAACACAGACAGCATGTAGCTGACTTGACTAGACACCTGAAATTTTCACCTTCTGTAACACTTGCTTATCTCTGGAAAAGTGCTCCTTTGGGGCAGAGATGAAAAGACAACCCAGGATGGTCACACAGACAAGATTGTCTTACTTAACAAGTATGCCTACATAAACTATGAAGTATGTCTCATGGGGATGGGCCTCTCTAAGCACTACCTCGAAGCCACAGCTGCGTGAGAATGAAAGGGCGTCCCTTTTTCTCCAGGTGCTGAGAATTTCTTGTTGAGGAAAGGTGAGTCGCCTTAAGCAGGTGAAGTAAAGCATCAGAGCAATGGGAGTATATGTGGAAGACTCACTTCCAGTAGCTATGAAGGCCAGTGACCTAACTTCTACTCAATGTAGCACTGACAACTGAGAGCCAAACTGTCACACCACGTAAGCCTACTGGGAGCATTTCCTGGTCAAATCACAGGTCCCAGTAACCTACACAGTGAAAGGAGATAACCAAGCCCCCAAAAGTTGTCCTTTACCCTACACCACAGCACATACATACCTCACCACACACAAATAAACACAGATCACCAGTGAAAATGCCTTATAACAGAAGACACTTTGTAAGGCTGAGTATTTTCAAAGGCTACTTCTGAAGAAATAAAAAAAAAAATTTACTTTCCAGTTAAGCAAAACACCTCGTAATTCAGACTTATTTTGAAATATTTTATCATCAAGCATAAAATGTCACCAAATGAGAAACATCAGTCATTAGCTACATCACAGTCAAAGAGGACATAATGCTTGCTTCTTTCCAATTCAAACCCTAATAAAGCTATTCGTTATGCATTGGATGGTACAGCCCCACAGCACAGATGACAGAGTCAAGAGTCAAAGCATTCATTTTTATCTACTTACCTGTAGTCAGGCTGCCGGCTTGTGGAATGATCGTCTCTTGACCATCTGTAGCTAGATTCATCCTGTAAAACCAAAAATCATAATTTGGGCTTTTGTCAGCCTCTTTTGAACAGCCTCTGAGGTAGAATTACAATGACAGTAAGATCACTTCCCTAGGGATGCCTGAGCTTCCAAAAGTGAGTAAATAAAGACACAAGTCACATCCACTTCCGCTACTAAACCCGACTGTGAAACTGTGGCACCACTTACCTGTATTCTAAAAACTGCGTCACTCCCTCACGAGACTCACAGACTCAGTGGCACAGATATGAGAACAGACACCACCACAGCTACTGGCTAGCTGAGTACGCACTGCTCAGCCTTCTCATTTTCCAAGCTCTCTCACCAATGTTCAGGTTCAAGCTCAAGGAAGAACTTAGTGCTTTTTCCATTTTGCTTACTTTCTTTTCTTTTTTTCACCACTCAATAAAGGCATAATTAGAAGCAATCTAGCAAGAATTATCTCTGATAAGCAGTATTATGATATGTGATACAAAATGTTAAGGGCCATAGGTATACCAGTTGTTTATGTAAAGAAAAAAAAGTTACCTAAAGTGTAAGAACAAACAAGCTTTTGTGTTAACATGGCTTTGTTTTGTGGTATTGAGGATTGGAGCGAAGGCTTCCTGATGCTCTGACTGCTGAACTGAGCCAGGGCAGACACGCTGGAGACAGGAGGGGCGCCTGTGCTGCTGCTGAACCTCACTCTGTGTCAGCTTTCAGACAACACTCACGCTCATGTCAAGACACCAGCCAGTGAAAACAAACAACTCCTCAGATGGACACAAGAGTGCTCATGAAACGGCAAGAATGCTCGTGTTGCGACCAAATCCTTTGTCCCTGAGACTACCTGGAGGACGGATAGTCCTCAGCACAGAAATGCTTCCTCCCAGCATCTAGACCCTCCCTAAAGGAGCAGCAATGCTCTATACATAAGCACAGTGAAGGCACCGCTGTAGGGAAGGACACTGCACAGCATACGTCAGCCACAGTCACCAGAAACCACTAGAAGGCTCATCACCACTTTAAATCGTCAGTCACAACTGTGACTGACCATAAGAACTGGAGGTCCATACAAACTAACCTCAGGAATCACTTACCTCCATCTCTTCAACTGCCAATTGAGGTCAAAGAGTACAGTGCTTAAATCTGCTACTGGTTACCACATTACATATTACAGAGAAGGGGGAAAAAGAAAAAGAGAAGACGAACAGTGTAGAAGAATATTGTAATTTGCAAGCTAGGACATAAGTGCCTCCAACCTGTCAATAAAAGTAATAAATTATGAAAACCTTAAATACTGTCTAGATTATCAAGAACACAATTAATCTAAGTAGCTAACATCTTAGTGTTTACTATCTGAAACATGGCTTTACTGCCCTCTATTCTCAAATAGTAAAGCTCTTAAAAGCAAACAGGCCTTAAGAATGCTAACAAAAAGTGAGGCAGTCAGCTTAAGCCCACCTCACCACAGGGGGTTTCATGCTACAATACAGCAATTATAAACACCAAGTGATAAGTGTTGACACTGGCTCACCACTGACTATCAGGTGTGAGTCTGCAAATCCTGTTTAACGTGAAAAGGTGAATGACGCATAGACTAGGTAGACAGCTCCATAGAGTGCTTATCGAGCGAGCACAAGGGAGGCCATGGCCTTGCTGCCCAGCACCACACAGAGCCAATCACACTGGAAGTAGTAATGTCATTCAGAGCTGTCTAGGATTCTCAACCACTATCCAGTATCACAAAACCCTTGACTACTAGTAGCCTCTGGAGCTACAGCGAGCAGCCAACAGCAGCTAACAGGAAGGGTAGCCAAGCTCTGAAAACCTAGCACTCCAGCACCCAGGAGGCTGAGACAGGACAGCAAGTGCCAGGCAGGCGGGACCTATACAGTGAGACCTTAGTACACAAAAGGGGAGTCAGGGTGGGGAAGGGGGCTGCAAATAAAATCAGGCCAAGCAACACAACAGAACACGAGCATCGGGATCTATTTTCACCTGAACATAAGCACCGTGATTCCACTTTATAGGCCTGCACATAAACTTTAGTTACATGGATTTTAAACTTGAAAGAAAGAACAATTAGTACACGGGGGAAATTTACATACTCCTCTGTGAGATGGGCCACTTCTTCGATCATGAGAAAAACTGCGGCCCTCGTCACATACTCGGCAATCAACATGACTGTAATATCTACTGTAGCCTCCTTCATCAGGTCTGGCTAGCAGGGGCGGTCTCTTGTCTAGCAGAGGTGGTCTCTTGTCTAGCAGAGGCGGTCTCTTTGGCACAACATTAACTACTCTATGGTAGCCATCCTAAAACAGACAAAAAGAAATATAGAGACATCACTAATTTCTCTATTTGGTTTTGGAAATGTTTCTTATAAGCACAGGAGTTCTTAACCATAATTCAACAGAGTAAATGTACAAACCAACAAAAATGCACCAATGAAAAGTGTGTCTATAACTAATAGTAACACCTTCATATAGATTAATGGAAATAAAATATTTCAATGAAAAACAACTTCAAACATTCACAATAACACACAACAATACACAATGACAATCATAAGAAAGGGGTGCTGGAGCACTTGCTGTTTTCTCAAAGGATCTAGGTTTAGTTCCCAGTACCCAGATGGTGGCTCACAACTGTCTGTAAAACCACCCCCGGAAAATATGACATCCTCTTCTGGCCCCTACGGGTACTGTATCCACATGGTGCATATACACGCAAGCAAAACACTTGTACACACAAAATTAAAACACATTAAATACTATAGAGTAAGTAAAGTCAGTCACTTTAACAACTACTGCACACGATAAGGTTACAGCAGTGATGTTCCTTACGACAGTGAGGACAGCACACTGTTTGGTCTACTTTGTTTATCTATTGAGAGTAGACACAGGCAGGGCTTGTGCCCATAAACCTGCAAACACGGATGAGTAGATACTGAACTAGAAAGAGCAAAAGAAAACATTCTGCTGTTTTTCCAGAAGCTCTGAGAGCTATCTTTAGCTTTTTACATTTGGACACAAAGTTAAAAGCTGATCTAAAATTAGAGCGAGTTTCCAAAGTTCTACATTCTTGATGATCTGACATACTTAGTAACTTGTTGGGGGTTGCAGAGATAGCCCAGTGGGAAAGGCACTGACTGCTCTCTCACAGGCTCCAGTCAGGTTCAACACCTGGTAGCTCACCGCAGTCCAGTTCCAGGCGACTGAAGCCCTCATGGCTTCCTGGCACACTGCATGCATATGCTGCACAAACTTATTACATACATGCAAAATACCCATACACATAAAAAATAAAATAATATTTTAGTCACTGAGAGGGATTTTGTGGGATCTGAGGAATCAGACAGAAAACAAAGTCTGTCTTATGTTAATGGCTAATATGAAATAGAACTATTAGGGTAAGATGTACAGAATGTATCATCATCTGGCCTAAGCTTCCTAAGGAACATTCACGACATATTTTTGTTTTGTTGAGGCATGTTCTCACTATGCAGTTCAGGATGGCCTCCACCACAGTCTTGTTTTTTGAGGCAGGGGTTTCATGCCATAGCCAAGGACGGCCTGGAACAGCAACAACTCCTGTCTTAGCCTCCTGAGTGCTTAGCATGCACACAATAAAGAAATCAATTTTAAAAGCAAGCCATTATCTTAATTTTCCATATATTCCAATTTTAAAAACTCTACTAAGAAACACATTTTCATTTTATAAAGTAAAAGCATAAACTAAATGGTTGAATAATTTGATACACAATTCTATATTATACTTTCCACACAAATATTAAATCTCATAATTAACTGGATACAAGTGAAATCATTTAGGACTTTTATTTCAAAGTGTTTCTTGAGATTAGGGTGGCATACAGTTGTAGAGCAGAGATTAGTATTCATAAGGCCCTGTATTAACCCCTAAACAAAACCCACCAATTTCTTAATGTATCATTAAGTATATATGTGCACTTATTTTAGCACTAAAACATGGTGGTTTTCATTTTTAACTTTTTTAATGTATGGTTTTAAGTTATGGCCACATGCTTGCCATAACTTGCATGTAGAAGTCAGAGGATAATTCAAGGCAGTTCTCCAAATCCACCATGTGCTTCCTGGAGGTGGATCGCAGGTAGTCAGGTTTGGTAGCAGTACTTTTACCCACTGAGCCACTGTGCCATCCTATAGAAAATGTTTTGTTTAAAATTAAAACGTTATGTAAGATCCTTCCTTAAACATCTTTATCCTTTAGAGACATAACAAATGTTTATTTATATTTGAAACATGAATAGTCGATTTACTTCAAAATAGCCTCCAAAAGGAAGCCAGTGATCAAGAGCTCGGGCTGCTATTCTAAAGAGCCTGGGCCCAATTCCTGGCACCTACATAGTAGCTCTCAACAGTCTCTATGTAACACGTATCCCAGGAGCTCCAACACCCTCTTCTGACTTTCTTAAGCACTGGGCATGCTCACAAGTGGTCACAGACATAAATGCAGACAAAACACTAATACACATAAAAGTTTTAAAATGAGACAGAACAACCTGGAAGAGAGGAAAATAGAAGAGTAAAACACAACTAACCAAAAGTAGATAATTGCTGCTTTCTTGACACATACTTTGGGAGTTGCTATCTTGTCTAGTTTTAAATACTTGATTTCTTTCTTTATAAAGAGCCAACACAAGCCAAGCATGGTTAGACATATGATATATATTATAAAATATGCTATAATTTATACACAGACACACACACTAATTGCTCACACAGCAATTGGGGTCAACACAGTGGTTCAGAGGGACATCAGACAACAGATCAAAATATTCTAGGTTGGCCCTACCCTCCAGATATATATCATTATAGAACTTGGCCAAAACTTTACAATTTTTATTTTCTGACAAGAGTCACAAAAGGATATTAAGGCCTCAAAATTCTGTCAGTCAAGAAATTCAAACATGCGGGCTGGAGAGATGGCTCAGTGGTTAAGAGCACTGACTGCACTTCCAGAGGTCCTGAGTTCAAATCCCAGCAACCACATGGTGGCTCACAAACATCTGTAATGAGATCTGATGCCCTCTTCTGGTGTGTCTGAAGACAGCTACAATGTATTCATATATAATAAATAAATAAATCTTAAAAAAAAAAAAAGAAATTCAAACATGCTATGTACACCTCCCATAGGACCCTTTGTCTATGGGAAAACCTATACTATCTCACCCATTCAGTCCCAGACTTCCCATGTCCTCCTCTAGGATCTAGCCTGGAGAGTACCCTGACCTCTTCATCCACACTTCTAGTATAATTTACCAAATTTAGTTGGGTCCTATGACATAGACTGGCATTCCCTGCCTTCACTGCAGAGATTGGGAGACCAGCATCATCCTCCTAGTCACACCCACAACTACACATTCCCACGTCATATCCAACCTTCCCACCCAGACCTATCAACCTCCACCCTCTCAGCTGGAACAGGAGACATCCTGTATACCACTCCAGTCCCTTCACCCTACCTGTCTACATTCCAGCCAAGCGACATTCAATCTCTAGACCCATGCCACCACAGCATCCTCTTCTCCACAGCCCTGCTCCTTCAATAACAGACTTAAAAATCTATATATAGCATGGAGACAAAGGAAGCCTACATGTCTAGATCTTGTCAGAGAAGATTAACAATATGACCGATCAAGACAGCATCTTCCCTCCAGAACTGACCAGTTCTGTAGAAAGACTTACCTATGGACTCCAGGACACTGAAATTAGAACAGACATAAGACACGTCGAAGAACTCAAGGAGTTTCAAGAAGACACAAGCAGCTCAGTGAGATGGAGGCGAAAGAGCTTAAGAAGAATAAAAACCTGAGTATTGCCCAAGATAAGGTTGTCAGAAATGATAAAGACAATCCAGGACAGAAAAATGGAATAATAAAGAATAAAAATACTGAAGAGGACTCAAGCTAAAATGAAAATGGAACTGAAAAAAAATCAACTAAAAAACTCAAAGTCTTACAATCTTAATCATCAGGACATAGACTATCAGAAGATAAAATAGAGCCTCTAGATCAAATAAGCAGGAGAGATGAATAACACATTAAAAACATAAAAGGAACACAGAAAATGTGGGACAGCAATAAAAAACAAACCTTTGGATTACAGGCATAGACGAGGTAGAAACTGTAAGCCAGCCCCATTTAAATGTTTGCCTTTTATGAGTTGCCTTGGTCATGGTGTCTGTTCACAGCAGTGAACCCTAACTAAGACAGTGCCTAATAACAAAGCAGAGCACAAGTTACAAAAGGACTGCTGGATGAACTTTCCCCGTGCGGACAAGGAAATTATCACCCAGATCAAGTCACTGAAGGAGCCTTGAAGAACAAGTCTTTCCTTGGGTTCCCTCCCAGTGTTTCTTCCCTTAATAACAACTGTCCTGGCTACTTTGACTTGTTTGAAATGTGTATATAAAGGAACTCTAGGAGACACACTGCTGAATCCAGCTTCTGGCCTTCGGTGCTGTGTTTGCAAAGTTCAAACACATTGCTGGATCCGGGCAGTAGGCCTCTTACTCTACCAGTGTATTGTTTAAACAGTTCAAACATTCTCCTGTTAGACATTCAGGCTGCCACCAACTTGATGCTCTAACCAAAGCTGCTTATAAACAAACACGCAATATGGTTTTAGTGTTAGAAGATCTCCACTTCACAAGCAAGGATTTAGAACTTTATTTACTCCTGTGTATATGTGTGTGCCTGGTAAATGGATGACACTTAAGTGCTGGTGCCAGAGGTCAGAGGTCATCCGGTATCCTGGAGCTGGAGTTACAGGTGGTTGTGAGCTGACTGACATGAGTCCTCCAGTCACCTGGATGAGTCCTCTGGAAGAGCAGTGAGTGCTCTTATCACGGAGCCATCTCTCCAGCCCCTTAGAACTGTATATACAGGGCAAGTTTTTAACTAAATCCAATGTTAGAAACAATAGTTGCACTTGCAATTTCTACTATTAAACACTTGTCTGCAAATTTCAATGTGTCCATTAAAGTAAGGCATGACTATAAAGTTACTTTCACGAGGTGGATAATGAAGCAGTTTTAACTCTTGGAAGGCTGATGGAGAAGGCAGCAGCAGCTTGTTTTTCCTGAACAGAAGTTAACACAGCAGGAAGAACCACCTGTGACTTTATCATTAACAGAAATCACTGGTATATTCAAATCAGGTGAGGTAGTTTGAATACGATGTCCTCAGTTGCAGGCATTTGAATGCTTAGTCTCCAGTTGGTGGTGCTCTGTGTGTGTGTGGGGGGGGGGGCTTAAAAGGTGTAACCTTATTGGAAGAGGTATGTCACTAGAGGTAAGTTTTGAGAGTTCAAAAGACTGCCATTTCTTCTCTCTGCTCTGTCCCTGCAATTAAAGATTTAGCTCTCAGCTCACTACTCCAGCCACTATGTCTGCCAACTTCTCTGCCATTATCGATCTTAGATACTTCTGGTACTGTAAGCTGAAACAAACCTTTGTATAAATTGCCTCGACCATGGTGGTTTCTCAGAGAAACCAAACCTGTGTGGACAGGTTATGGCCATCTGTCTACACATTTGGAATGTTATACTCATCACCAACTCTAGCAAACCCCTTCCAAGAGCTCTTGATAATTAGCCACCTACTGCTATAGCTTAGACCTCCTGTAGGGGGTCATCTTGTGTCAATCAATAAGAAGCCTACGACCTATAAGAAAGTAGAATAGGAAGTAGGATCTCCAGCAGAGAGAGGGGGAACTATGGGGAAAAGTCAAGCATGGGAAGAACCCACACTCAAGCCCACCCCACCAGCCTCAGAAGCAGCTGGACTTATGAGAGGTAACAAACCACATGGCAGACATAGACTAGAAACGAGTTGTGGTGAGTTACAAGCTAGTTGGCAAACAGACCTAGCTTATGGCCTAGCTATTTATTCATAACAAGGCTCCGAGTCACTATTCCAGAACTTGGGCCTGGGTGAAAAGCCTACAGTCACACAGTTACATTATCCCATTAAAGCACTAGGTCTTATTATATGCTGGGATAAAACACAAAATGCATAGTACCTGATGGGAAGTCTTCATGTCACTGGGAACATGTTTTCAATGAAGATGGTGGCACCCACCACCTGCCCTTTTCCTCCCCTTTCCTTTTTTTTTTTGAGGTGTTTGCGGATCAGTTCAGGGGACCAGGAATGTTAGGCAAGCACTAACTACGTAACATCCTCAACCCTTCAATTCTGATTCTCAGACTAACACTCTGTGACCACTCAACACACTTAACATCAACTATGCATCCATTCTAGAAAAATCTGTGCTCCAAAACACCAATTGCCTATCCTTCCATCAAAAGGATGGCCTTAGACCACAAGCCATTATCCTGTGTTCCCCACTCTCATTTCTTTTAAACCACTTCCCCTCTCAGTTTTTCTCTTCCTGATGAGATCGTTTTACCATACATTACCTTAATGATCCTAAATCAGACTTTTCAATATCAGCCTGGGCCAGTCATGCATCTAGTAATCTTAAGTCAATACAACCTGCTTTACATATCCATAAATTAAGCTACTCAGTTTTACACACACACACACACACACATCTTTCAGATTAATACCCAGCTGGTAAAATAAAGTTCCTATTCAAGAGATGTATTCTTGGTGGGAAACAGAATTTAAAAACATTTTGGGGGGTCTAGAGAGATGGCTCAGCGGTTAAGAGCACCAGCTGCTCTCCCTGAGGTCCTGAGTTCAATTTCCAGCAACCACATGGTGGCTCATAAGCATCTGTGATGGGATCCGGCGCCCTCTTCTGGAGTGTCTGGGGACAGCTCTGGTCTTATACACATACACTTATATACATAGAATAAATAAATCTTTTAAAAAAAAACATTTTTGGAAGGTATCCCACAGCTATCTGACACTTAACATGCTTTATCTTTTTAATCCTTCTATGCAAATCATAAAATAACTTTATCAAGTTAAAAAAAATAATTAGAAATAGTCTCTAAAACAACCTGGGAAGCAATGACCTTCCTAATGTAATGAATGGGCTTCCTAGGTTTATTTTTCCTTTCTACCTTAAATCATTTTTCTATGAATCTCTATAATTCAGGACAATGAATGCCAACCTTAAAGATGACACTTCTCATCTAAGTGAGGTACAGCTTCACTGTACAAGTACATTATATACAAGTAATATACTGCTAGCTAGGCCTGGCTGCACAGTCCTATAAGCTCCCTGAAAGGCTGAGGCAGGAGGATCACAAGGGCAAGGCCTGCGTAGGTCTCAGAATAGTTTAAGATAAAACTAGGTAATTTAGTAAGACTTTGTCTCAAAGTAAGAAAGGAAACAAAGAAGGCGTGGCAGTGGATTAGTGGTCAGGTACTTGCCCAGCGTGAGGAAAGCCCTGAATTCAACCCCCAGGATTCCCACCACACACACAAATCCTTAACACTATAAATAAAACCTCTCGACAGGTAAACAAACATTTACGCCTTTTGTGGTAGACAAAACATCCACATAACATTCTACCCAATGTTCAAGATGAGTCTGTGCAGAAGATTAAGGGATTCTTGACCTCCAAACCTCCCCTTAATTCTCCATGTACATCTCCAGTCACTGAATAAATCCTGAGCTTCTGCTACAGATAGGACTACATACAGGACTACATACAGGACATAAAGTTACCAAGAACATTAAGAGTCTAGCTCAGAAGCCCCAACTCTCAGAATTATCTGTCTCACCTATAGGCTGCCTGACCACGCACAGGCAATCAGAAGTGCTCACTAGGATATCCACATGCTTCTGCCCCAGAAAGACTCCTGTAAAATGACATCTCTGGGTACACTGTCATATTAATTCATAACTTTTTAATTTTAATATAATTTTTGTTGTTGTAGACTGGACTAGAACTTGCTATGCAGACCAGACTTGCCTTGAATTCAGAGACCCACCTGCCTCTGCCTCCCAAATGCTGAAATTACCTCCCAAGTGACACCATGCCAGGCTCAATTGGTAAACATTAAGGTGACAAAGTGACAGCAGCCACAAGTAGAAGCAGATATTCAACAGTTCTTTGTTATCACATAGTATAATGTTAACAAAAAATTTCCTCCACCAACTAAATTCAATTCAAATTCTTTCTCCTAAAAACTTAAGTGTAAAATACAAATTTTGCTTTTTACTTAAATAAATTATTGTACATTTTCTGGCTTTTAAAAGCTGAGTTTGATCTATATTTCCAGCTAGGCTGGTAAACTGACACTGGAAGATGCTGGAGAAGGCACAACAACAGCAAGCTTTGAGCTTTCCCCAACGCTGCAGTGACTTACACTGGAATGGCTCCGGGGAGGCACTCGATCTCTCGGAAGTCGTTCGTAGTCATAGCGTCCCTCAGACCACATTTCATCTCTTGTGGAAGCCGCTAAAAAGAAACAAACAATTCTGGGTTTTCTTTGTCAGCAAGAAAAAGACAATAAAAAAGCAAACGCCTGCCAAGACACCCAGGAAGGTGAGCGAGGAGGGAGGAAACAGTATGTCCCTCAACTAGATCTATACATACGTGTACCTGTACTGCACACACCAAGTCCTACCTTCCTTCTAGTTCAAATGTTATTTACAGGTTCAATAAAACTTTTCCCACTAAACATCCTATGAACCACAGTTTCTTCGTTGTCAACCCATTTTAAACCAGAAAAGATTGCATTTGATGAATAGTTTGAAAAGTGGGCCAATATGCCTACTCCAATTAAGGTTGACCTAAATTTATGATATAGCCAAAGCTGGCCTTTCCATAGCAGTCTTGTCTCAGCCTTCCAGAGTACTAGGATTACAGGTATATCCTAGCATGCAATGCTGCAGTTTGACTTTGTTCATTGTTTAAATTTTGTATTAATGTATTTGTATATGTGTACATCATGTGTAAGCAGGTTTATATGCACATCCATATCTCAGAACGTGTGTCAAAGTCAGAGGACAGTGCAGGAGAGTGTTCTATTGTGGGGTACAAGAGTTCGAATTCAGGGCATCAGTCTTGATGAAGTGGCTTTGCTGACTAGGCCATCTCACAAGCCCTCTGGTTTTGGTTTGGTTTTTCTGGCCTTAAACTACTAACCCTCCTGCCACGGCATCCCAAGTGGCAAGTTATAGTAGTATACTACAACAATATTCAAAAGACATTCTGAATATGTATTAAAATATCTGATGATGAGCTAGTCGGTAGTGTGACACACCTTTAATCCCAGCACTCAGGAGGCAGAAGCAGGAAGATCTCTTGAGTTTGAGGCTAGCCTTGTCTACAGGATGAGATCTAGGGCAGCCAGAGCTACACAGAGAAACCCTGTCTCAAAACAGAGGAGAGGAAAGGAAGGGAGGGGAGAGGAGGAGGGAGGGGAGGGGAGGGGAGGGGGAGGGGAGGGGAGAAGAACAGACCTATGTTAAAGGAACAGGCTGAAGGGTAATAGAGGACAACACATTCCTCTAGTCTTTGCATGCCCAAGCATACACATATAACACACATACATACATACACATAAAAAAAAACCTTTTTTAATTTTTAAAAGTACTCTAGAATAATTCTCTGCATCACAACAAAGCACAGAACAGAATTAGAATTCAATATGAAAAGTGCAAACTTCCTTTAGAAGTATGCCAATAATTGATTCCAAAATGTAACCTCACTCTTATGAACCCAGGATATAAGGAATATAGTCTGTGGGTCTGAGTCCAGAAGGGAGATAAGCTCTGCTTACAACACTCCACTGAGATACCCCAAGTCCTGTGTACCGTCAGCTGAGAGCTGGGACTGAGCTGGTATTGCTAGTGAAAGTCACAGGAATTTGATAAAACAAACTCAGTTAATGACCTTGTACCCAACAAGACATGTTTTTAATCCAAAATCAAAATGATACAATCCTTTTCATGTTATCCAAATTGCTTGTCCCACAGTTTAGGAAACAGAGTAACTGCATTATGATCCAGACAGCTTCCAATCACCTTCACGCTTTCTCACCTCTCCTCGCACATCCTTTCATCTTTTACTCTCACCTAGATACTCTGATTGCCAACTAGAGTTAACAAAGAGAAAACTCCCACTTAAGCTCATAGTCCGGATGAGCAGTAGGCACTTGCATTGGCGGTTCCATTAGAACGCTCTCAGTAACTGCCTCAGCTTTCACCTGAGGACTTTAATGTCACTCAACCATATCCTGCAGGCTTGGTTTCTTCACAACACAAATCATCACAAGTATGGTATGAATTATCTGCAATCACACGTTGCACCTTAGTTAGGGTTACTATTACTGATATCTCCATAAGATCAGGCTGTAGGCAAACCTGTAGGGCATTATCTTAAATTAGTAAATCAAGGGGGAGTGCCTAGCACATTAAGGGTGGGGCCATCCCTGGGCTGGTGGTCCTGGGCCCTATAAGAAAGCCAGCTGAGCAAGCCAGTAAGCAGCACTCCTCCATGGTCTCTGCATCAGCTCCTCCCTCCAAGTCCCTCCCTGCTTGAGTTCCTGTCCTGATTTCCTTCAGTGATAAACAGTGATGTGGTAGAACAAGTTAAATTAGCCCCCATGCCCCATCCCCAATGCTTTGGTCATGGCATTTCATCACATCACTATTCTAGAAACAGGAGGTAGAACCACTACGATGTTCATTAAGGTCAACAATCTGCACAAAGAATGTGATCAGTAACTCAACCAAATTTATCGTGTCAAGAAAACAGTCCCTCAAACTGTGCATGGTGGGCATGCCTTTAATCCCAGCACTCAGGAGGCAGAAGCAGGTGGATCTGAGCCTAATCTACAAAGAGAGTTCCAGGACAGCTGGGCTGTTACAGAGTAAACTGGAGAGAGAGAGAGAGAGAGAGAGAGAGAGAGAGAGAGAGAGAGAGAGAGAGAGAGAGAGAGAGAGTGAGAGAGAGATAGAGAGAGAGAGAGAGAGAGAGAGAGAGAGAGAGAGAGAGAGAGAGAGAGAGAGGCAGAGAGAGGCTGTCCTATCAATAAATGATTGAGCATCTCCTTCCAGCCTAGCTTTGCTCTAAGGAGTACCTCTGACTCAACACTTTCTCAGAGACTCATCTCAATCCTGTCTTCTGCTTTGATCAGTAAAGCCCATGAGGCAGGTACCCAGAGTCAGGTCAGAAACTTGAGTAATCTCAACACTGGTCACACCTAAACTTCTACTCCTCAACAAAGCACAAGAACTAACTCCCATTACTTTAACCTCTCCCCAGGGGATCTCTGCACCATCTAGCACAAGATTCAGCCTAAATGCCAACCTTTCTTATATTTTCCCAAAAAAATCATCTAGTCTTTCTCTGTCCCCTTCAAGACAATGTACTATGGGAACTACTAGACATTCCCACGTCCTGCTGACTCTCTCTCCTCCTTCCTCCTCATCCTCCCGCTGCAAACACAATGATTAAACACCAATACTGCTCCTCTGCTTTAGCAGAGGGAATGTATTTTTTATCAACAAGTAGTTCATATGACTCCCAGGAGTCTAAGTCCTAGGAATTGATTTGGAAAACTTCTTGTGAGACAGTTAACTATGCTTCTTAAAAAGCACAGCCATGCTGTTCAAAGCCGTCAACACAACTTCACTTTTAACACAAAGTACAGATGAGAAACTTTTAAATCCAGCATCCCCATGTGAATTTCAATTGCTGGACACCAGCATTAGCCAAGAATTTTAAGAAACAACACTATCCAGGTCCTACCTTTTCAGAGTCCTCAAAATGCCCTTGGGAAGATTTAACTGCTTTCTGATCTTAAGGTCATCTCGGGCCAAGATCCGCAGATTAAAGGAAAGCAAGCTGACTCCTGAAATCAACACTGAAACACTAAGGAGACGTTAAGGGCTGACCTGAAGCTAAAGTTGTCAGGCTGCTTCTAGCAGAATGTTTAAATTTCAAACAACTAAACCAAAATCACTTTTTAGAATAAAATTTAAGTCTTTGAAAAAAAAACTGCACTGATCCCAACTAGACAGTCAAAACAGCAAAACCTCAACTAGAACTCTGTGTTGGTTGGCACTCAAGAGTAGTCTGTGTGGATGGTGTGGATGTGGTGAGGTCCCCTCTAATCTCAGCTCTGAATTTGAGTCCAGACTCCAAAGTGAGAGCTAATGTAAAAAAGAGTATGCTAGGGGAGAAAACTTTTAAGAAAGCTAAAACAAAAACACAAAACCAAAAAGCCTAGTTGATTAACTAGAACTCCGAGTGGTGACTCCAGTGAAGACAACAGAGGACAGTAGATTCCAGGAACAGGCAAAGGCATTAGGAATGATTCAAAAGGGCCTGAGAAAGACCTGACCAAAGGCGACCACAAAGCAATGGGAAATAAACCCACTTAGCCGGGTAGCTGGCAAATTTTCAGGGTAGCTGGCAAATTTTCATTTGCTCTCCTAAATGCAAGAATTTGGGTAACAAGTTTTCAACATTTAAACTCTTTATCCGCACTATCCTAATGATGGAGACACAATCTCCTGCTTCTACATAAAAACCATGAAGATTTCAAGACCTGAAATTCCAGAGTTGAGCCTGGAGTCCCGTCCCAACCCTTTCTAACTATCACATAAGAAGCAAGCATACAGAGAGAACAGGTTCCAGGACATCAAATGATGAAGTAAAATCCAGACAAGACAGACAAGACATTCAGTACAGGCTGTTAACCCTGGGTACAAAGGGGAAAGGATGTCCTTTCAGAAGGTTAGAGAAGGCATGAGCAGAATACCATGGATTGCTTTCATAGCAAATTACATAGTTTAGGCATGGAGAAGTGTGAGACAGTTTCACTAAGTAGCCCTGGTTGGCTTGGGTCTCATTATGCACACCCTGCAACTCCCACAGCTTAGCACCTTTAAAGTACCTCACTCTGTACATTGTAGGCCAGGTGTGGTAGTGTACGTCTGTATTCCAAGAACTCCAGGAGCAGAGGGAGGAGACACATGTTTAAAGCCAGTTTTCCTATGTGGCCAATCTCAAGCAGCCTGGGGGATATATATACATACATACATATATATATATATATATATATGTATATATATATGTGTATATATATCTATATACATACATATATATGTATGTATATATATATCTCCCTGTCTCAAGGAACAGGCAAACCCCAAAATAACTTAGTTGAGACTTAAAGAGTGGTTACTGGGAGCCAAGGAGACTAGTGGGAGGAGAAAAGGATAGAGAGAGGCTAATGAACAGGGACACGGTTATACAGTTAGGTAGGGCAAGAAGTCCTGGTGTTCCCTTGTATAGCAGAATGATTATGGACAATAGTCACTTCACTTCAAAAGCTCTACAAAAATTTTGAAAGATATGGTATTTGAGGTAAAATGTTTATCCTGACCCAAAATTATGAAATATATACATGTATTGTATTAGATGATACACCACTGCTACATATATTCTGTGTGATTTTCTACCTAAGTTAAAAAAACAGTTGGGGCTGGAGAAATGGGGCTCAGCTATTAAGAGTACTGTTTTTGCTCTTGTAAAGGACCCAAGGTTCCACTGCACCCACATGGTAGTTAACATTCTATTACCACAGTTCCAGGAGCCTATTGATGCCTTCCGAGTTCTGTGAGCAACAGGTGTGTGGTATATATGTGCAAAACACTCATACACATAAAACAATAAAATCTTTAATAAACAAAATTTTTAAATAGTGTAAATGAAAGATTGTGCCCTCCCTCTGAAAGGCTCACTGATTAGAGCATTGCTAATAATAGAGGCTGGAATATTGCATGTTGAGTCAAATGACATGGTATTTATACCTTTAACAGTCTCTGAGTCTTGATTCTTCAAGTGTCCTATAATACAGTTATCCAGGATTAAAGATATTTGTTATGTTTGTTTGTTTGTTTGTTTGGAATAGAGTTTCTCTGTGTAGCCCTGGCTATCCTGGAACTGGCTCTAGAAATCAAGCTGGCCTAGAACTCAGAGGTACACCTGCCTCTGCCTAAGTGCTAGGATTAAAGGTGTGCTCCACCACTGCCCAGCACAAATAGTTATTTTTAAAATATCGATTTAATTCATATTTTACTTGTGAAGTTTACAGGTGAGATAGCTCATCAAGTAAAAGCATTTGCTATCAAACTACTGACTGGAGGTCAATCCCCAAAGGCACATATAACAGACTTTGACTTTCTCATACTCACAAATAAAATGTAACTAAAAGATGAAAAATTAAAATATAAAGAATATCAGAGCCGGGCGGTGGTGGCGCACGCCTTTAATCCCAGCACTTGGGAGGCAGAGGCAGGAGGATTTCTGAGTTCGAGGCCAGCCTGGTCTACAGAGTGAGTTCCAGGACAGCCCGGGCTACACAGAGAAACCCTGTCTCGAAAAACCAAAAAAAAAACAAAACAAAAAAAAAACAAAAAAAAGAAAATGCCTCCATAAAATGGGGCCATAGGCAAAAAGAATATCAGAGTGACTCCAAGTTCCCTGTCTGACCAGTAAGATAAAAATATCAGTCTAGGGCTGGAGAGATGGCTTAGTGGTTAAGAGCACTGAGTGCTCTTCCAGAGGCCTTAGAGTTCAATCTCCAGCAACCACATGGTGACTCATCGCCATCTGTGATGGGATCTGTTGTCTTCTTCTGGTGTGTCTGAAGACAACTACAGTGTACTCATATGAATAAAGTAAATAGATCTTTTTTAAAAAATAGTGTAAGAATAGAGAAGGTTGTGTAAATACCTTTGCAGCATGCCAGACTTAAGAGCAGTAAGTTATAACAGTCTAGATACAAAACACCAAACTTTACAAAGAATTAGATCTAACCATTCCATGAGATTATAAAGAATCAAATTCACCCTAAATAAACCAACCACCAAAATTTAGAGAATAATTTGTTTACATACTCCAAATGTAAAATAAAACTAATTCATAGGGTACAAAAATTGTAAATATAGTGAGACAAAGTTAACCTAGTTTTTGAACGATGTAATTTCAGCTGGTTTAAATTACATTTCCCTTCATCCGCCACCTTCACTCTGTGAACTGTTCTCGATTTTAATCTTAGGGAGATTACTGGTATTCTATGTCATGTGGCATCACACTCAGAGGAAAGGTAAAGGGGTCAAACCGGGATCCTAACAGGATCCAGGAGTGAATTCCTTGATGGCTGTCAGAGCTTTCTCCTGAACACTGCTCTCCAGCAGATCTATGTCAGATCCTAAGAAGGAATAACTGGAAACATTACTAATACTTAATAAGCAATATGTGGCCTTCACAGGCACAAATGTAATGCATGACAACGGGAACTAAAGCTCTCTCTCTGCGTTACACTGAACCTCCAGAAACACCGACTAACCTATCAGAATGCCCCGGGCTGTAGAGATCGGAATGTCAAGCCTGAAGCCTAATTCCAGCTTACCTCAGGCTAGCTTAGCCCTCTAATAAGACATTCCTTTCCCATCTCTGGGTTTGACCCAACAAGCCTTGTGACTAACAGGAACCATCTGACATACCACTGGCTTTCCACCAACCAAAAGGCTCAGAGTGTTGTCAGATACCAATCAGGCTAAGGACAATAGCTGAGATTTCCCCCATTGCTGTAATGAGCCTGGCTACCTGATGTTTCTAACAACTTACTTTAAAATGCCTTAAATTATTAATTTCTCCGACGTTACTATAAAGACGTTATGAAACCGTTACGTAAGGACATGGAATTATTTGCAGTAACTGGAATCTGTGTTCCCAGACCACATGAACTAGCACCTGGCTCCAGAATAAACGCTAAACCACAATGAGGTGTTTTCGTGTCCACATGTTTAAATTGTTTGTTTTGGAAATCCCACTGTATTGCATTACATACTTAGGAAGAAAAGTTTGACTGTCCATGGCATGTGGTAAAATTATATGAGCAAACAATGCCAGACATTTACCTGTGTCTTAATATTTATGAATCCAAGCCCTCACATCTGTATGGGGCTTAAGATCTTAACTAATGAGTGTGCTTTCCCTACATACCCTCCATCTCACAGAAAATGAAGAGTCAACCACTTGCTAGTGTATATTCATGATGAGACGCTTCCTTAATCAAGTGTCTTAGTTAAACCTAAGTCCAACCTTCTCTACCCTCCATGGTCTCTGGTAATTTTCTCACCTAACCTATTCCAGGCAAAAAGCATTATCTTTGCCTCAAGCCCCACACTGGCTAGCTTGGATTTCTCTTTCAATTTCAATATTCACTTTCGATTTCCATCCATACCCATGGCACAGTTCACAAAGCTGTACTCTCCACATCATCAGACTGTCCCAAAATTTTAAAAATAATCTAAAATTAGTAGTTAACAGGCAACGTGTGGCTTATCTGAAAAACACTTAAAAAAAAAAATCTGAGACCAGCGAGTGGGAGTCAAAGGTAGTTGGATCTCTTGAGTTTAAGGCCAGCTTGGTCTACAAAGTGAGTTCTAGGACAGCCAGGGACTACACAGAGAAAAGGCTGAGATACAAGGGGATTGTGTTTACTAACAGTACTTGAGCTGGGTATGGTACACACGTTTAATCACCTGAGAGAAGCTGAAGCAGGCAGATCTCTGTTTAATTTGAGACAATCTACCTCACACAAGGGGGGAGGGGATGGTACTTGAACTATTTCTTGAATAGACTGCATGACCTAGCAACACTGAGACCATTCCTCACAAACCACCCATTTGTTGTACGTAAGTAGCTGGTGACCAGATCCTGCCACTCACTGACTACCTTAACCTCTAAAACAGCTAACAGCAGCATTCCAAAGATAAACAAAACAAACACGCCCTCCCTCAGCGCTTAATTTAAATGTAAAGATGAAAGACACCAGCAGGAAACAATTGACTCCTGCTAGAGGGCACTTAAGAGAACCCTAACTTGGGGAGGTTAGGGAAAGACTACTCAAAAATAGAGCTCGGCTAAGCCTGAGGAAGGCCAGAGGCAAAAGAAGACAATCACTAGTTCTAGCCCCTGCTTGGGGGTGGGGTGGGGAATGGAAATTATATTAATAGAAAGAGGTAGAAGGCAGGGAAATCACGGGATCAAAAGGAAAAATGAGAACGAATATTGAAAGAAAAAAAATTAAGGAAATGCAATCAATTTGATACAGCTGGAGCAACGACACCCAATCTTAAAACCCAGACACAAAATCTGGACACCCAATCTTAAAACCCCAGACGTCAGAAAGAGTTCAATTTAAAGGTGAAAGCAACAGCTTCGTTAGCGTCAGAAAACCAAAGACGGTTTCAAAACAAGGCTAAATAGGTGTTTGCTAAGCAGACAAAATATGATTCCAGGGAGCACAGATGATGCGCTCAGGGGTGAACTAAGGAAGGAGAAGCAGTGGTACCCCAAATTGGGAGGAAGCACAAAGAGTTAATGCTCAAATAATTAGAAGACCAAAGGGGCTTACATCTTGGGCGATAACCAAGCACAACCGGAATGTGAAGCCTGGTGCTTTGGGCTGGCCACAAGTTTGCCATGAGAATTAGTCCCAGTGGTCCCTTGGTGGACGCCAAAGAATTAATGCCTCTCAAAACTCAGCTGCGCCCTGGGTGGATTGCACTTCGTCCCTCCGCTTCAGTCAGGATTGATTGTGCAGGCTCCACGACAGGCTCTGGGCTCCGGGATGCTGACACGCAGGTTCCCAGGGAGTAGTTACAGGCCTGGTCTGTATGTGCTGGCGGGTAGAAGTTAAGTTTAAACTACCATGCATTACTTCCTGACTTCTCTGTAGAAATGACGAGTTCTTAAAGAATAATCAGTGTAGCCGGGCGGTGATGGTGCACGCCTTTTATCCCAGCATTCTGGAGGCGAGGCAGGTGGACCTCTGAGTTCAAGGCCAGCCTGGTCTACAGAGCGAGTTCCACGACTGCCAGAGCTACACAGAGTAACCCTGTCTCGAAAAACAAAAAATAATCAGTGCGTACCCATTCCATATTTTCAGAAAGAAATAAAAAATAACGGGACGAAGAAGCTTAACATCTGTCCATGCCAGTCCAGTACTCAAGAACGGGTCACTCTGTGACTCCAACTCTCCCCACGTTGGCTTTGTCTCCCCGGCCACACTCACATTCTCAACAGCAAGTGGGCTATTTTTGCACCCTTTTTTGGTTCGTCTCTCTCAAAGCGCTATTACAGAGCTGGTTAGGTCCAAAAATAAAAAATAAAATAAAAACCAGACTTGCTGACTGACCTCGAGTCACTGAAGTTGCCTAGCGGAGAATTCCCTTTTGCATACTAAAGTACTAACAAGAAGCGGAACCTGTGTCTCACGCTCAACACTTTGCTTTCCTCCCACAACCACTGAGTCTCTCTCCAGGTTCCACCAGGAGTACAGAATAATGCACATCTCCAACGCGGCAGGAAACGCCCGCCCGCCCGCCGCATGCGCCCCTCGCGCCTCTGCGGAGAGCCACTCGCTCACCTACGTTCCCCTGCCACGCCGCCGCTGCCGCCGCCGCCGCCGCCGCTGAAACCCGCGAAGCTAGACGTCCGCTCGCCCCAAAGGCACTTCCGTCGCGCGCAGTGACGTCGCCCGGCGCGTCAGCCTCCGGCCCGGGTTCGCTCGGGTTTGGAGGATACGGAAGAAGCGCTGCACCGCGCTGCGGTCGCGGACGCCCGCGCTGTTGCGCGCCGCGGAAGGCAGCTAGGAGTGAAGCCTCCCCCGGCTCACATTCTTCCTGCTCGGCCGCTGCGCCGAAGGTAAGCTCCGGCGGCGCCGGGGCCAGGAGACTCCCGCGGCCCTGGCCCCGGCCTCGGCCGCGGCCCCGGCCCCGGCCCCGGCCCCGGCCCCGACTCCGGCCCCGGTCACTGGAACGTCCGGCCTGGGTTAGCATTATCTCAGAGTGAGAAACTTGAAATGCGTCCGACAGGTTTTGGCTACCTGAGGGTTTTTGAATAATCCTCCCAATCGGCCTGCGGGGAGCCCTCCGGGTTACTGGGTCCATTGTCATTCAAAGAGAAGCTACTGTGTTATGTGTTATTCCAAGTATTTGACACTTGCTGCGGACACCTGCGCTTTTTTTTTTTTTTTTTTTTTTTTGGTTTGGTTTGGTTTGGTTTGGTTTTTTGGGGTTTTTTGTTTTGTTTTGTTTTGTTTTGATTTCCGAGACAGGGTTTCTCTGTGTAGCTCTGGCTGTCCTGGAACTCACTCTGTAGACCAAGCTGGCCTCGAACTCAGAAATCCGCCTGCCTCTGCCTCCCAAGTGCTGGGATTAAAGGCGTGCGCCACCACCGCCCAGCACACCTGCGCTTTTTTAAGATCAAAATTTTAGACTCAATTGGGTCCAGTAAAATTTTCGTCCGGTAATTTGCAGAGTTGTAATTTGTAGTGACATTGATTAGTAAGCATATTGATAGGTATACAGGTTAATGTCCCATTCAAAATACGTAATTCATGTAATAAAGTGTGTCGTTTCATGATTTGCTTGTACGCGAAATTGAAAACATAAAGAACTTTATAAAAATGTGAAACTACCCAAGTTTAACAAAAATGAGACTGTCGTGGTGGCCTATATCTGTAATCCATGTATTACAGACGTAGATACAGGGGTTTGAGGAGTTTCTTAAAAACAACAACAAGAACAAAAGAGGCGGGGGTGGGGGTGATAGACAGGTGTCCTTTTGGCGAATACTTGGGAAGCACCTTTTGCTTTTACCCTAAGAAGACGTTAAAAATAGCCTAGTGGCTTCTCCATCTCTTTAAAAACCCTCTTCCATCGCACTGCAGCTCTAAAAGGCTTAAAACACCCGCTGCTAGAAAAGGAATATGGTAATTCACACCCTACCCACAGTGGTACTCTAATCTCCTTAAATGAATAGAGCGTGTGGAATTCTACCTTAATTAAGTCAGTGATAGCTTGTTTGGTTCTACTTGGGTATTCCTGATGTCTCCTTTTCCGTTTTAGAAATGAGCGGTGGCTTGGCGCCAAGTAAGAGCACAGTTTATGTATCCAACTTGCCTTTCTCCCTAACAAACAATGATTTATACCGGGTAAGTTTTACTATACATCTAACTAATGAATTCTCTCTTTAGAGGGAACCTGAAGCTTAAGCAAATACTGCTCCCTGGGAAAATTCTTAATAGATATCTCCTGCAAATTGTAGTGAGAAAACTTGCAGTTTTTTTTTAATTCCCAAAGAGAATTTGCACTGCTTTGTTTGTTTTTGTTTGTTTGTTTGTTTTTTTCGAGACAGAGTTTCTCTGTGTAGGCCTGGCTGTCCTAGAACTCACTGTATAGACCAGGCTAGCCTAGAACTCAGAGATCCACCTGCCTCTGCCTCCTGAGTGCTGGACTTACAGGCCGATGCCAAACAGCTAGAGAACTAGACAGTAATGTGTCTATGATCCTAACACTCTGAATGCTGAGACAGTCAGGTCACGAGTTCAAGTCTAGCTGAAACTGTCTCAAACAAAAGATAAGCTGGGGATGTAGCTGAGAGGTGGAGTCCTTGCCTAGCATGGTTAGCACACACCTGTATCCCCAGCACAGGGGAAGCTGAGGCAGGAAGATTGTGAGTTCAAGGACAGCTTGGACAATGTAGACCCTGTCTCACAAAAGAGAAAGGGGGTACTGAATTAGGCTTGGAGGTGAGATTTTAGACTGAATGGTAAGAAGTAACCTTATTTAAAAGGTAGCTGGGGGCTGGAGGTGAAGCATAGTTAATAGAATGCTTGTCTTACATGCACAAAGCCCTGTGTTGACTCCCTTGTACCACATAAAGTAGGCATTGATGGTATGTACCTGTGATTTCAGTATTTGGAAGGTGAAGGCTGAATATTGGAAATTCAAAGTCATGTTCAGCTCCATGAAGACTTTGTGGCAAGCTTGGGATGCATGAGATTCTGTCATAAACAACCAAAGGGCATCTTTTGAATAAAAAGGTGAAGCAGTAGGAGCCAGTTGTACAGATACTCAGAGCACAAGTATTTCCAAAGAGGAAGGGTAAAAATAAGTAAGCCCATTCTCCGCCTTCCTTCCCAGGCCTGACAGAGGCTGCCACTGTAGTGTTACTCTAAAATGAGAACCCATAATCGCGTAGGAAACTGCTGGACCTCAGAATCTCAACGTTGCTACGTGTCTGACCCAGAACTCACCATTTCAGTATTAGACTGCATGTGATGAGATCTTCTAAGAGCCTATTTGGAGGATGTTATTTATGTGTATTAAATAGTAAATCAGAATTGTATATATCTAGATATTTATACATCTATAAAATATAGATATGGGTAATATATGGGTAGCTATCTGTAGAAATAAAAGGAAGAACAGGCCAGCTCTACAGTACCACCGGTATACTAATGATGGGAAAGTTCTGCACCGATAGAAATAGAAGGATCCTTGCTTCGCTTTTGATCTTTGGCAACAGGTCTTGTTTTGTAGCCTGGGCTTGCCTCAGAGTCACAGCCTTCTTGCTTTGCTCTTCTGAACACCAGGATTACAGCCATAGACCATCACTCCTGGCTGGAGATGGGTTTTTCACTATAGGAATCTTTTGGTATTACCTGCAGTGAGAGTTCCATCTATCTTTCAGTGATGGATTGTGTAAATCATTGGTGTGGTTTTATTCGACAACACTGATAATAAAAGCACAGGATTGGCTGGAGCTGGTGGGTTTGTTGAGCCCGCAGATCAATCAGGAATACAGCTGCTGCCTAGTATATATGCCGTAGATCTAAACATGCTGAATGGTTTTTTCCCTCTGTCCACTCCCTAGGGGGAGTTAGGAGCTGAAGCATATCACTTGTAACTCCAGTAACTATATTATTCTAGTCACTTAGAAAATGTTTCTTTGGTTTGTTGAATCAGTGTTTTGCTATAAAGTCTTTTGTATAGGCTGAAGACTGAAATTTTTCATAAAATATAACAAAGAATCTGGTCAATACATACAATCTGAATATTTAATTTGGTGACAAATTATAAATTATTTTGTGATCTTTTATTTCAGATATTTTCCAAGTATGGCAAAGTTGTAAAGTAAGTATTCACATTACAAGATACTTGGTTGAATAAAACTACTACTGTTAACATTTTTACATATGGTTCAGTTATTTTCCCATGTACATAAACATTTGACAGTTTTCATATTATAAAGACTGTGTACTAAAGATTTAATATTAACAGTATTGCTTTTTATAGTGCTGAGAACCAGTCTCAGGGCCTCAGACATACTAACCACACTCCTAATCTCTAAGCTACATATCTAGCCCCTCAGTGTTTTCAGAGCTAGTTCTTGCACAGTGTAGAGCTTGCTGGGAAATGTCTAGGGGGACAGTCACACTGGAGTGACTTTGTCTCAGTGCTCATTGTGCTGCCAAGCCATGTCAGAAAATATCTGTAGGCAAACCTCTGAACTGGCTGTAGGTATGCCACCCATTTGCCACCTGATGGGTTGGCCCTTGAACTATTCTTAACCTCTGTTGACATGTATATAATGGGCTATCCCCCAAACTACCTAGAGACTGACAGTGAACCCAGTCATAACTGCTGACTAGGAAGT